TGATATTTTTAATATTAAGTAAAATAATGCAAAAATCAAATGACAACCTTTTGCGAGACGGATGAAGTATTTTTTCAAATATATCTTAAATAAATATTAATTTATTAAAATAAAAACGTATAAACTGTTATATAATAAACCAAAATAAATAAATAAACCTATAAATTTTTCATTTGTTATTTTGGTATGTCAAAATCAAAACTTCTCATTTTATTTTTTTTATTAAAAAAGTAACTTTAAAAAAATATTTTTACTTTCCATTTTTTCATATTATTTTTTTCAAGTGTAAAAAAGATATTATAATTCCTCCGTTCAAATTCAATGTATTTTTTCTCTACTATTTTCGTTTGTTTCACTAGAAAATATCTACTCCCTCCGTCCCATGTAATATGAGTGTATTACTGTAGACATGAGAATTTAGGTAAAGTATAATTATTAAATAATTAAAAAGTGTATTAGTAAAAATAATTATAGATTAAGATTAAGATAAATAAATAGTTTAATTAAAATTAAGAAAATTATAAAATTCAAAATTTAAAATGCGATTAAAGTGCATAATTATATTTCCAAAAATAGAAAGGACAAGTTGTGTGGAACGGACGAAAATAGAAAATAGGGACGAAGGGAGTATTTTATATTTTAGTAAAAATAATCATACACCAATATAAAAATACCCTTATTTTTTACTTAAATTACAAATATATCGTTACACATACAATTATTTTTTTACATAAAATTAAAGAGCAAAAATGTCAAAACCTCATATACACTTTCACTAACTAATACTCCATCCGTCCCAAAATAATAGAGATATTTGTGATTGACACGAGAATTAAGAAATAATAGTACTCTCTCCGTCCGTCCCAATATAATAGTCTTGTTTATCAATTTTTTTCGGTCCCAAAACAATAGTCTTATTTTTATAAATAACCATATCACCATAAAATTACCATTACTTTTTCATTTTTATTACACAATTGCCACTACTTTTTATACTAATACACTCATAAGGCAAAAAAATAAAATTTATTCATAATTTTTACCAACTACCAAAATAATATCAATATTTCTTAAATCTCGTGATCAACCCAATTAAAATTATATTTACGAGATGAAGGGAGTATTATTCTTTTAATCTATTACAAAATCTAAATTACCCATTTGGACCGAAATGAAAGAAAACGAAAGAATATTACTTTATTACATTTAAAATACTAATTTAATTTAATTCTCATTCAAAAATCAAATAAAAGTTTAGAGTATTTTAAATTATTTTTTTATTCTTTTAGTAGTTAGATATTTCGAGGGTTTTATTATTTAAATTTTAAGAAAATAAAAATACTAACATTTTTTTTTTAAAAAATAATTGGAATAAATGAATATATTTAATAATTAAATAGTAGTATTGTGATGAAATGGTGGGTCACAGTTTATGTGTGGGGTCACGTTAAGTTCCGCCGACAATGCGACCGGCTGTCGTCGGTGACCAAATCCTGACATATTAAACCTTAACCGGCAAGAGACGGTCGCTTTACGCCGTCGGTGCTTTTATTGTACCGTTTCATTACATATACAAAATCAGATACGTACACATATCTATGTATATATATATATATATAACAAAAATATGTTCTCTCAGTCCGGCTCTAAGAGTCATATTTATTTTTTATATTATTATATTTAATATTGAAAATATTTTTATATTTGTATAAGTTTTTGTACAAATATCATTCTACAAGTATTATAAGACACTAATGAAAGTAATTTCTTATATTTCATTATGATATAATAATTAATATTTAAAGATCAACAAGTAAAATGTAAATGAAACAATTGTAGCATTCTATCCGTCCCAATTTAAAGCACCCGTTTTATCATTTTTGTTTATCCAACTTCAAAGTATATATATATTTTTTTATTTTAGAAAAATAATTATATAATAATACTAAAATATTATTAATTTTTACTTAAATTACAAATATAATATTATATATACAATTATATTATATCTGCAAAAAAATCAAAAACTCTTAGGCTTAACTAACTAATAAAATACTACTCCCTCCGTCCCTTAACAATCTATCCATTTTTTTATTTTGGTCCGTCCCATAACAAAATATCTATTTCTTTTTTTAATAATTTTACCATATAACTAACATTACAAATATCATTCCAATTTACAATATATTACACAAATGTTATTACCTTTTATATCACATAATACTAAATAAATTATTTTAATCATTTCTACTTTATTCCTACTATATCTCAATATAATACTAATATTTTTAAAATTTCGAACAAAAAATAAATTGATTCATAATTATGGAAAGAAGGAAATATAATATATTTAGAATGAAATGTAAAATAGTTAATAAAAAAAATTTAATATAAATAAATAAAATATAAAATATAAAATAAAATCACATCAAATGTCACTATCTCTTCCTTAAATCAGGCCAAGAATTCTCAAATTTATACAATCAATCACCAAATTCAATCAAATAAAATTAATTGAAACTGAATTTTCAATAATATGTGAATTACAATCAATAAATCAAATAATAGGAATATTTGAATTGAAAAAATGTATTTGATATGATTAATAATTTTACACAAATGGTAATTTAAAAAAAAAATATATATTTTAGAATTTGATTTCAATATATTATGCTGTGCAAATGTTGATTTAATATAAAAATATATTACTACTTCCGTCCACCAATCTATTCATTTAATTTTTATATGTTAATATTTGATATATTAATTATTATATTAAAACGTAATACAAATAAAAAAATAATAAAAATATTTCTATTGGTGTCTTATAATATTAAAATTATACAAATATAAGAATATTTTTAATATTAAAATAATGATGCAAAATAAAAATAGATAGATTAACTGTCGACGAAAGTAATATTATTTTATAAAAAAAATCGTTATAAATTGCATTTTAAAAAAAAATATATATTTATATACGTCTAATAAAACAATATTAATTAATTTATTTATTTATGATGTATTGAAGTAGAGTGTAGGTGTACGGTGTACGTATTTATTAGATTATAAATACGTAAATACATACGTGATTATTAAAAAGAGCAATTATTAATATGGGAGTGGGTCCCACGAACATGTCACATGTGAGTTGGCTAGCAGAATGGGGGGCACGTGATGATGCCACGTGGAAATTATGATTTAATATTTAATTATATTATGTGATGGTGACGTGGAAAATTATTTATGAATTTTGGGAGGTGACCACCGCTTTATGCGCCGATGTTTTCATGTGACATGATCATATATATATATATATATTTAAAATTATTATTACTATTATTATTTAAATGAACATTTACTAAAAAATATAAATACATTTTTCAAAGGTGATGTGTATAAATTTCAATGCAATCTAATTTTAAAATAAATTAAAATTGGAGTTATATTGGGAGGATTTTATTTGGCCCAAAATATTCTTTCAAAAGCCCAATATGATTTATGACATTTTTAGGGTGTAGGGTGTATTTCTTTACATTTGTTTTGGAAAATTTTAGTTTGAGATATATATTAAAAATAATTTATGATAAAATATTTTTTTGATAGGAAAAAAATATATATATATTTTTCGAAAAACACGGTATTTTTAATGTGTTTTCTTGTCTTAGATACTAAATAAAATGCGATTATATATATAAATAATATTATTTTCGTCCTAAATCAAATAAGTCATTTGAAAATTTGTACTAGATTAAGAAATAATAGTATTTATTAGTTAGTGGGAGTGTATAAGAATTTTTTACATTTTAATCGTTTGACTTTAAATATAAAATAATTTGTGTAATGATATATTTGTAATTTAAATAAAAAATTAAAATTATTTTGATATTAATTTATTATTACTTTTTTTAAAATAGAAAATAGATATTTTAGAATGAAACTGATGAAAATGGTAAAAATAATACTCCCTCCATCCACTTACAATGTTTACATATTTTTATTTTGGGACGTCCAGTTACAAAGTTAACATTTCATTAAATATCCTATTTTTTCCACAAATACCCTTACTTTACATCACATCATTATTTTTACAAAAAAAAATAAGGGCAAAAATATCATTACACTATTTTTAACTAGCGACCAAAAGTAAATGTAAACATTGTAAATTAAATTGACAGAGGGAGTATTTTTGAATTGGGACTGACATAAGATTTTGTATTGAATTTTTTTTTTTTTTTTAGTAAATAGAATATATTACAATATATGTTGTATGGGTGTGTATTAATTTTTAATAATATAAATTGAAAAACATATAAAAAAAATTTTGTTTGCGTAAATATATACATCCTACATTAAAATCCATGATCCATTATTATTTTTTCCTTATTTATTTATTTATTTATTATGATATGGTATTAAATGGTAGTTTTATTTATCTATGTTTTTTTATCGTATATGTTTTTAAAAATAATATATTTTTTAGAATTCATTTAAAAATGACATATATAAAGTATTCTTAATCAAGTAAAAAAATTTCCCAATTTTCAACAAATTACCACTAAATTAATTTCATTTGAAATTGATGATTTTCTAACAATACATGGTTAGCTCAAGATTATAAACAATAACGTTCAATTTTTAAAAAATACTATCAATATAGGAATGTACACAGCAGAAAAATCTCATAAATCATTGAAATATGATATTCCAAAAGTGAATATTTGCGACAAGAAATAAATTTTAAAGTATGTTTTTTTGTCAAAAATATTTGATATATTTTTTTAAAAAATTAATATATTACATACACAATTTCCTACATACAAAACAAACAAACCAATTACTTAACCTATTAGTAAGCTAAATGAAAAATAAAAAAAGTTAGCACGAATGTATGGACTGTGGGCAGACTTGTGATCATAAGATCATAAGTTCAAAATCCCGTCCAATATAGTTTGCAATTGCAAGCTATTGTTCGACGCAAATTCCGAAAAAAAAAAAGGAAAAAGAAAACTCTAAATATTTGCAATTAAATTAAATTGACCTGTACAAATTCAAATTATAGGCAACAACAGCCAATGTCCCAAACAATCCCAATAAAAGAAGAATGACAACTAAAATTACTACAAGAACTCCAAAATTCCAACTAAACTTCCCCTTCAATAGATTGGATTTCAATTATTATTATTTTTTTTTGTTCCCCTCAAAAAACAATAAATTTTTCTATACCATGAATACCTTTCAAGCTCAACCTTTGTTCCTAGTTTGAGATTTTGTACCGATTTTATGATCTTTAGCTGCTTTTGTTGGTGATCGAGTCGGTAGAAATCGACTTTGTTGCATCTAAATGATTTAGCCGGCAAGTTCCCAAAAGGAATTCCGGTAGCTCCTCCGGTGAATTTCCCTGAAACACACGAAAACATCGATATAACAATAACAAACAAAAATTATACACCACAATGTGCAAAAATTGAGCTTTTTTTCCGACATTTTTTAATATAATTATATCAAAATACTTTATTTTCTGTTACAAAACATCATATACAGCCCAAAATTTAAAAATAAAATAAAAAATCGCCAAGTAAACACATTCTGTGTGTATATATATCACAACTTATGCATGTGTTGGAATTGTAGCATTCTATGACAAGGTTAAATATTTTTTTTTATCGTAAAAATAGGTTATGAAATAACTATTTTTCATATACAGATATGGCAGCTTCTTCGACACTACATCTTTAACATATATCGCAATCTAGACTCATAACTTGAACACGCATTCGATCTTTTATTTTTCATTTTTTAAAACTATCTTCCGTCGTACCCTTGCAACAAAATTCATCAGTCGCTTTGCTTCTATTTCTAATTTTCACTATGATTAAAAAGAGAAATCTTTGGCAAACTTCGATTACAAAGGGCAATGCTAACTTTACCTGTATCAGAAACGCCATTTCAATAACGAGATTGCCGAGGTACCCGAGAACAAGGCTAACAACGCCCCTCGCCACTGTTGACGAGCCAATGTCCACACCAAGCTGAAATAACACCATTGAAGACAAATGTATTGGTTACATGAGCCATAAATAAAAAATGTAGATGGTTCATCATATTACGGGTTTTTGCACATTACCTCAATGTAATTCTTCCCCCGAAAATAGTTGATCTCGAGTGCTTGACCTATCAAACATGCTTTTCTTCCCACACTCTGCTTTACAATCCACGATCCCTAAAAAAAAAAAAAACGAATGTAAGGAAATTCATTGGGAACTACTGAACAATATGAGAGTCGAAGATCTTTATCAGAGCATGGCAATGGACAAACCTTGGAAATGTAAGGTATGAGTTTGAACCTTGAATTTCTAAAACCATCGTCACCATTGACGAAACGCTCCAACAGAGGTGTTTCTTCCAAGGGAGATTTAAGCATGTAGTAAAGGACTAAACTATATGTGCTTGTGCCAGGAACCTGATTCGAGCACCAATGAAAATAAATAATATTAATCGTAGTCGACAACAAGTGGAAAGTTGAGCTATTGAAAAATCGTAATCTGTGTCACCTGTATGTTGATGACAAAAAAGAACTCTGGTCCTCCCCTCTGTGCACACTTCTGCATAGCATGGATTAAGATTACGATGAGATATATTATCCACCCCGGCTTCTCTTATTATATCATAAACATGACGAAAATAAGAAAGTCGCCATATATCTGAAACAGTTACTTTCTTGTTAAGCCAAACTAGTTGACATAAAAGTTGGAAATACATATTGTAGCAACCTGAATGATGCCTCCATCTCGACCAGAAATATCATCTTCACGCTTGTCCGATTTCAGCCAATCTGCTGCTACAAACTGCATCAAAGTTCCCGTTGCCTTGATCTGTCGAGAAAAAAAATTCAAGAATCAAAGGGATTGAATTTTACATTCAGAAGTTCATGGAATTGCAGACAAGATATGCATCCACAAACTAATAGAAGCAAAACAATATTACAATATAAAGACAGCAGTATAGTTTGAAAAGTTCCACAATAGCTGATATATTGACGTAAAATATTTTGCAGGACGCATATATTACATTTGTCTCATAAATAGCTGAGGTTAGTAATACAAAGCCCTTTAAAAATATATCCTTATACAGCAATCTATGGATTTGGCTTCGTTTTCTGGTCTCTATTCCTATCAGGTACATCAATTTATTGGTTTTTTTTTTTTTTAAATATATGGCCGCATGCAAGTAGTTTTATTTGCATTATCATGAATCGATGCTGCCTAACGCAAGAACTTTAGGCAATAAAATTCAGAACAAAGCAGTGGAAGTTAAAGTGCAACCTTTAGGCGATCTTCTAGATAATTTTTACCACGGACAAGGAAGGCAGAAGCATCTGATGTCGCCCAGCTGCACGGCATGTTACAACTCTCATCTTTTGGAAGTGTGGAGCCATAGCAGCGCAATACACTTTCTTGCCGAGATACCTCTTGCAGATCAAGATAACCCTTTTTCTGGACTGGAAACATGAAACAATTCAAGTATTTCATAAATGATTTCTTAGAAGGATCAAGCATCTATATGAGTTTCTAGAGTAGGGTGCTAACCGGCAAGATCGTGCAATTTCTTGACAAAGCAAGCGGCAGATGATAGTTTTTGTGGGGAATTGTCCTGCAAATTATGGATTAGAAGAATCATTGGAGGTCGATGGTATGCATATAGTGTTGAATATTAGTAATATAATAGAAACTGGATATTGTAGCATTGTTCAAATCAGAATGCAAGTGAGGTGCAATTGATGGAGTTTTCGGCATGCATTTATGCAAAATATTAAAGATTTATCATACCATATAACAGGATTCTGGTGTTATATCTGACGGCCAACCATTTTCTGAAATATCATTGTCCGAAGGTTCAGGAACATCGAAAAATTCATCCTCTGCATCATTTAGTACAGACAAACTAGAAGCCCCGGAAAGCCGAATTGGTACTTTATCTTGCGGTTTGGTATGTGTTCTTTTGTCTTCACTCTCAGCCTCTGGAACTCCAATGTCTATTGGCTGATCTCCCGATACTAATTCACAGCTAGTGTTTCGGGCCTTCATTTTGAAAAACTCGCTTAAGGCTGCAACAGGGAACCTCATGTTTAGAATAATTGAATATGCAAAAGGCAAGAGTTCAATTGAAAATAAGACTTGTATTGCACCCGCAACAGTTTCAAGCATACGGATCGTAATAGATCTTTCGTATGGTTGTCTAAGGGAGAATTTCCAAAACCCCCAATCAACAGCAAGCATTTGTTTCACGACACATTCTTTAACTTGTCTTGTTGGAGTTATCACATATCCACCACCTGCTTGATTAAAGTTATAAAAGAGGTACAATCACAGCCTGAAACCGATATCCATAGCGGAAGTGTTCATAAAACAATGTGCAGAGAGAGAAAGAAATAAACATCTCCATCTCCATCTCCATTAAGACATTTCACATTTCTTAAAAAGCAACTTTTGGTTGAACTTCTTTTGTTCTTGGCTGAACAAAAGAAGCATCGGATAAGAAACTAAGGTGATTCTCCAATATATTGTCGTAATGAAATTTGTGGAGATGGCTGAACAGAGAGGGTGTGTTACTATATGAGCGATTCTTCATCATCAGAAGCAATGAAAGACATATAGCTATGGTCAGAGAATTCTGAAAAACCATATCAAATTTGCACATGAAACATGAATCTGATACCAATGATTGCATAGTTAAGCATACGTTACTTTTAATGCAAGCGCGAACATATCCTTTACGAGGTGGACACCACTTGTGGAACACAGAATGGTAGAGAATAACTGCATCAACAGTGACAGACAATTGAATTAGAATTACAGCTTTACAACAGCTAAACGTTGATGTAAAATCCTTAAGCTAAAAATACCATATGTGCCATCATCTTCTCTTCTCCAATAACGTTGTAGCAGTAGGTCTCTTCGTCTCATTGCCCTGCAAAAAGGAATGTTGTTAGCAATACTGGTTATATCCAGACTGACTTTCTGGCTGAAATTTAAAAAACTGACCATGGTAGCCAATGGTTATACAGTTGAATGTGAATTATATCAGTATGGCCATCGAGATGCTCAATCACACAACCTTTGTAGAAACAAAAATCCCATCTGCAAAACTTAAAATGTCAAACACTTGAAACAGTGCTGTATATGTGAATCTTGAATCGAGGCGAATATGGCAAGGCTATATCAATATATTCTTATAACAGTGAATAGGCTGTTGGTGACTCTATATAGGCTATGGAAGAATTCAGATGCTGCAAGGGTGTTAGCCCACTTGACTCGTATTAACAGTTTAGAAGGACTAGATTTCAAAACTATCACAATTCACATATTGAAAATCATCATCGAAGGAAAGGTTATACTAAGAAATAACAGCACAGGAGATATTGATATGCAGTTTACATCAGTTACACAAATTAAATGCAAATTCTCCAAGAAGATAATCATATAAAGTCAATTTTAGTTTGTACTAGGTTGAAGCCTTAAGCTGGAAACACTGGAAAATTTTAAGATGTCTTACTCCATTCTTGAGTTTCCAAGGCACATAAGTGTATGGAAAACAGCTTCTGAAGTTCCCTCGACAATCCCAACTGCCATTACTGCTGGATGGTCACCCCAGTACTAAGAATCATAACACAGAATGCATCAGAGAGGTAGCGTGCTCAGCTCAACTGATCAAGTACAATTGAATTGAAAAGCTGTACCTTTCCGTTGGAATCTGTGTCTTTCGCTTCTTTGAAGAGTCGTAAACCTGGAAAGCTCGAGCATCAGATATGAAATCAAATCATGACAACAATTCATAAGATATCTTAAAGTAATGAAGTTGTATTTACCATTTTTACAGCCAAAGATTTTCCACGGTGAAGGAGCAAGTACATCAGATGTCATTGCTTCCACACGCCGAGAAGATGTTAAATTATCGGTGCTACACATTTTTGCAATTCTCTTTGAACCACTCAACCTGTTAGGTCAAAACAGGCTTTTGCTCAGGACACAGCTTTCAAGTATTAAGATAGAAGTCCAAGCCACACATGCACAAAGAAAAAGGCTATGTGGGAAGGAAGAGATATGAGGCCAATAGAGAAAGATTGAACAACAAGGATATGAGTATATTGATATACGATATAAATAGCTGCTGTAACTCGTGGAAAGAATGGCCTCTGTAACATTGAGTATATACTCTATTCATACACAATAAAGTGTGATATATTTGAACCTCAAAATCTTCTTTGCAAGAAATATAAATGGACGCACTGGCGAAGAAAAATATGCCCACCTAAAAGGCTGGTATTCTCTCCTTGAGCTAGATGTGAGATTTTCTGTAGGTTTAGCCACAGCTTCTCGTAAAGAAAGAATCCACTTCGCAGCTTCTTCAGAGCTGGCAGCTCCAAGCTAAAGAATGCATGTTTAATCATCAATCACTTTCACTATTAGTATAAATTATAGAGGGTGACGCAATGAAATATAGATGTTAATGTACCTTCAGCGCATCATCATGATTAGAAGTATTGTATAGAGTGAATATGAAAAACAACTGCAAGTCACATAAGAATTTATATAAGTATCCATAGAAGCAGATCTTAAGTTTTTTGCAGTAGATAGTGTACAAACTGGTACATACTCTCCTATGATGGTGCTCTCTTCCATTATCTACGACGCGAATCCATGAGTCTACTATAGCACTCCTCACAGGTTCCTGAGACAAGAATGGTCAATAATCTTAAGCAGGGAAAAGAGAAGAAAACAATCTTTAATTAAAGTGGCAGTTTAGGCATGAGCATGTCAGATCTAGTTAAGTAGATTCATCCTTGCAGAATTTATTTATCGATAAATTCAACACTAACAATCACTCACTGAAGATCAAAAGAAAGGAGATAAATTTGAAAAGATTAACTACCCAACCACCATTCAATTATATAAATGTGTAGTTAAAGTAAATTCTCCATTGATGCACACGAATGTACGACAAAAGAAGAAAATGAGATAAATTAATTAATACAAGTTCCAGAAAGTTAATTAGAATGAAGTAAGAAGCATTAACATAAGTTTTAACTCAACTATGATTAAAATCACAAGAAAAGTGGTTAACAGAGAGGAGAGTGTAAGGTGAAAGGGGACAAAAGAATAACTCACATAACGACAACGAGAAGAAAGAAGCGCCACACGACAAAAAAGAAACCATTTAGTCGAACTACCACTAACAAACTACTTTGACATTCCCATGTAATTCTTATCTGCTCTTCAGCTTCACATCGATGTTTTCATAGACGATGAAATATGGAATCAATGCAAAATTTTCTCTTTCATATCTTTCTCAAAAACAGATCAAGTTTACGAAAAACACATCAAAATTGAAGGCCATTTGAATACCGATCAAGATATGGTTATTCATAAACTACCAATGTATGCTTCAATATCTTCAAAGCCATCTATCCACTACTAAACTTCCAAAATCACGAAGCGAATTCCCGCATATCCACATTACTAATGCCATTAATTCATCTTTTATATTAACTAAATTAGTCCACCAAACTAATCCCCGAACCATTAACAGTAATCGAATTCATAAAAAACCATTGCTGTAATGATCAAAACAGCCACCAACACTTGTATGATCCAACAAGACACAGAGAAAATAAAACAAATCTAAATTCTGATTCATCCATGACTATAAGCAAAGCTTGAGAAATCAAGAGCATATTCAACAATCTCACAAATCAAAATCAGTCCACACGAAATCCATACTCAACAAACACAATTCGCAAAAACAGTCAAAACCTAAGCCCATTCAATCGGCAACATCACATAAAAACAGAACTAAAATTCAAGCAACAAAAAACCAGTAAAAATTCCAACAACAAATCCCACCTCACTCTCCGAATTCGGAACCGACTTGAAGCTCTTAAGCACGTTGTCCTCAAGAACAAAGTATCTCTTACGCGAATACTGCAGACCTAATCGATTGTAACGAATCAAATAAAGCCATCCCTCCATCCTCCCCCCACTTCCCTCCATTCTCCAATCCACCAAAAACCCCCAAACCCCCAAATTCCCTCGTCCTTTCCCCTCTAAACCAAATCCACAATCATCAAAACACTCAATAAATTACATCCCCCACACACAAACACATTCTAAATACACATCCCGGTAGTAAATAAACACACAAAAACACTTCCTTCTTCCGATGAAAACGATCCTCTGATTCCACTATACCGGGAACCAGAGAATCGGTTGCTGAATTTTCTCGAATTCCTCCAATTCACACAATCTTTGCTGGATTTTTTGTCTTTTGGTATATTGGGAAATTGCTTCTTCTCTCTTTTTCGTGTATGTGTTGTTCTTCGCCTGCAATTTTGAATTTAACTGATTCCGAGCTTATACGAGGATGGCACACTGTCAATTGTGAAATTACTAAACTACCCTCTCCCTACATTTATTAGAATTTTTCCCACGCGTATTTACGTATTTCTACCTGTCTGAGTTGTCACTGCCAATAACCAATATAAATTTTTTTTCCATAACTTAAATTAATATTGATGACGTGGCAGAAGTTTGTTAGTGTGGTTTTGTCAAGTTTTTATTGTAAATTATGCAATGAAATTATTGTTATAAATAGGTTTTAGTATTATTTAAAATATTAGTATATTTAATTTGTTTTTTTTATTATTAAAATTGTGATTTTGATGTACTATTTATTATTTTTAATTTTTTAATATTGTATCAAAATTATATTTTTATGTTTATTTATGATTTGTTTAGTTTGTATTTTTAAATGTCACAATTATTTATAAATATTATATAAAAGTATAAAATATTACTCAATTATTTATATTATTATACCATTTTTCGTGTCTAATATTAAAAATTAAATTTATTTAAAAATATAAAATGAACATATTGTTATAAGTTGTTTGGTTCAAGAATTTTATTTGTTTTTATAGAATTGAGATTTTATAAGTAGGATTTATTTGCAATATATGATTTATTGCATTTACTATTTAGTAAAATTATCTGTATTTATATTTTTTAAATCCGGTTTATTTTGCAAATTAACTGAAGATTTTTAATTTTTGTATATTTTAAATAACATAATTATCTTTCACGAGTTTTATTTGTTGTGATAAATTAAACTCATAGATTCAATCTCTCTTTCTTTTTAATTTAATTTATTTATTTACCAACATGAGTATATGCTAAATTGTTTTTCATTAATATTTAAAAATATGGGTAAACTGCTAAAACTCTTTTATAATTTTAATATTGTAATGGGAGCATTTACAAATTAATTCAGCAGGTGAAAATTTTTTACACTTTTAGTCCTCCGGCACTGAATATATCTACATGGCACATGCATGGCTCTCCAGATGACACGTGTTCACCAGATCAGCGACACCTAACGGATATATAGATATTTTAAATTTTTTTTTTAAATTATTAAATTTATTTTGTCTTTTTAAAAAAATATATATATATATAAAAAAAAACTTAAAAATTAAAAATTTTAAAAAATAAAAATCCACACATGTCCTTTGGCTAGTCACAAGCGTGACACGTAAGCATCTCTAGGTCCGAATGACTAAAATTGCAAAAAAATTTCACTTTAGGGAATTAGTTTTCGATAGACTCCATTTATGAAACAAAATAGTCTAATTACATGACAAAAAGATCAATTTACTCTAAAAAAATATATATATTCAGATAAATATATAATATTTAATTTATACACTAAAAACCATAATATTTTAATATAAAATATTGCTCGCTCTCCGTCTCATTTGATGTGGCCACATTTTTATTTATGTATCTCTCACTTATTCTATTATTTTCTTTTTAAAAAAAAAATTATAAATTTTAATTTCATTTTAATTTTTAAAATTTTAATTAAACTAATTAGTTATATTAATTTTAATCTAAAATTATTTTTTATTATACGATAATTATTTTTAGTAATATATTCTTAATTATTTACTCATTATATTCCTCCTAAATTCTCATGTCTACAATAAAAGAGACACGGTAGCTAAGACAGAGGGAGTATTTTTTATACTACCCACATTTTTTTCTAATACATAATATAAAAAATATTTCAAACTGAAAATACAAAACTAACACACCAATCAAATATTCTTAAAATTATTAATTTATTTATAATATTATTAATAAGTATACCCTAATCTTTTAAAATCTTATATTTCCTGGATTTAAAAATGTCATAAGACTTTAAATTATATAATCTATTTATTTTCTAATCAAATATGGATTTAGGTTCATTTGGATTGTCTTCTATTTCCATTGGCTTATGTCCAAAAAGTACTTTTGAAGCTAGTATTTTTTTTTTTTTTTTTTCAAAAGCACGTTTCAAGGTAGTTTCTAAAATATGTAGATATATTTTTTAATAATTAATATCAAAATACCTTTAATTTTTATTTAAATTATAAATATACTATTACACATATAATTACTTTATATAAAAATTCAAAGGAAAAAAATGTCAAAATCTCTTACACATTCTCACTAACTAATAAAATACTATTGTTATTTAATCTATTACAAAACCTAAAAAATTCTCAATAAAAAAGGACGGAGGGAGTATATCATTTACACAATTTTATGTCAAAATATACTTTTCTTATAAAATATCAATTGAATTTAATTTGTATTTTTAAGAAAAGATAATATATTTTTATAAAGAAAGTAAAAAATAAAAATAAAATGAATTTTTGAAAAAAAAAAAAACGAAAGCTTAAGTTAGGTAGTACTTCCTCTTCCGTTCCAATTTAAAGTATAATTTAATCATTTTTCGTCTGTCTTGTTAAAAAATATAAAAGTAATTATGCATTAATATCAAAATATCCCTTAATTTTTACTTAAATTACAAATATACTAGTTACACATACAATTATTTTATACATAAATTCAAATGACAAAATTGTCGGAACATCTTACGCATTTCTACTAATTAATAAAATAATACTCCATCCGTCACATTACAGTAGTCTTGTTAACTATTTTTGTCTGTTCCAAAACAATAGTCTCATTTCCATAAATAACTATATCACTATAAAACTACCTTTATTTTTTCATTAATACTACACAATTGCCACTACTTTTTACACTAATACACTCACAAGGGCAAAAAAGTCATTTATTCATACTTTTTACCAACAATCAATATAATATCAATATTCTTTAAATCTTATGTCCAACACGATAAGACTATACTTTTGGGACGTAGAAAATATTATTTATTAATTTACTACAATAATATACAAGAAGGGTAATTTGGGAATTGTCATAAAATTAAAGGCTTCATTGTTACATTACCTATACAACACAGCTGTTATCTAAGTAGGTCAAAATATTAAATGTGTATCATATAAATAGTCATATTTTATTAATGGATTAATTATTAGGCTAATTACTTCTTTATAATTCCATTAATAATTTATTCCACTTTAGTCACTTCATATATTATTTAATTAATACCACCTATTATATTATACATTAAATTATTAGATACTTATTTTGATGACTACAATGACATTTGTGACAATTTTAAATTATTTAGGATGTGTTTCTTGCTCTTTTTACATTTTGTAATTTTATGACGGGTAAATTATATAACACCCATTGTGTTTTAGTAAAAATGCACAAAATTTTTTATATTTTATTTATTGCGTAAAATTTCTTTGTATTAATGTAAAGTTTGCACGAAACACCCTTCTTATCCAAAACTGATATTTAGTTCTAAATAAATACCTAAACTACGCTAGTTTTATACAAATAAAAAACGCAAAATATCTTAAATATTTTTTTTGCATTATATAAATAAATAAATAATTTACTAATATTTCATTTTATAGTTTTTAGAGACAAATTGTTGTCTGATTTTTATAAAAATTATAAAAATAAATAATTGATCAATTATTTATTTATTTATTGTATTCAAAAAAAATTATTTAAAATATTTTACGTTTTTTATTTGTATAAAACTTACGTAATTTAAGTCTTTATTTCGAACCAAATATCAGTTTTGGACAAGTGGGTGTTTCATGCAAATTTTTCATTAACACAAAAGGATTTTACGCAATAAATAAAATATAGGGTGTTTTGTGCATTTTTAGTAAAACACAAGGATGTGTTATATAATTTACCCTTTTATGAGTTATGATTTGTTCCATTGGAGTTTGAAATTAATATGAAATGAATTGTTGGATTTTATTTTGATAATATTTTAAATAATTTTTTTTTGAAAACAATACTATATATACTTGTTATCGATAATTATATAAGTAAATAGTATTAATTTCGATTTAAAATCACAATCAATAAATTAAAATTAGATAATTGGTGTAATATTTAAAATATTAATTTTTGTTTTTTATTTTTACCGTTTAAAATTTAAATTAATATTATTCACTTTGGATAATATTAATAAAAATATACTATTTTTTTTCACGAAATATCATATCACTATATTATTTAAATAAAAATTTAACTCAATATTCCATCTTAAATTAAGTTTAAACTACAAACAAACTAACATATAATATTATTATAAATAAGTATATAGACGTAGTAAAATATTTAATATTGTATAAAATAGAATATGCATATAATATTATTTGATCATAAAAAAATAGAAAAAAATAGTTCAAAATAAATTACTATAATTGATCATGCCAAAATGGAGAATTGTATTCTAATTCTATGATCTAAATATTATTTTGATATAATATTTATAATAAACAAAATACTCACTCTATCATTTAAATTTGTGTTTAATTTTCTTCTTATGTGTCACCTAAAAATATTATTATTATTTTCTTAAGTAAAAAATATATTATTTTGGTACTTTTTTACTATAAAACAATAATAAATAAATACATATTTATATTGAAAATTCGTAATAAAAAATTTAAGCATATTTTTAGAAGGAAAAAAAAATTGAAAATTATGTAAAGTGAATAATATAAATTTTAATTTGGAAAGAAAAATCATATAATTTATGTAAAAGAACATAGAGATTAGAGCTAGCAAAAACTGATTCAACACGACAAGCAAATACGACACGACATGAAATAATTAGGTTTGGTCAAATATTTTAACTCGATTATGTATAAACGGGTCGGGTTAGGGTTGAGGCTCTTAATTCGAATCTGACACGACAACCCGATTATAGTATATTAATATTGATTAATATATTTATTATATATGTAAAATAATCATAATTTAATAATTTTCTCGTAAATGAATTTAAACTAAGTTCAATTTTAAATAATTCAACTTAATTTACGCTTAAACTAATAAAAACTAACATACCACGACAACACAAAAAAAAATTATTTAATTTGAATG